GGTAGAGCTTTGTAACTATGATTTGAGAATATGAGTTGTATTTTGAGTTTGTGTATTTTAGAATTATGATTTGAGTGTAGAAAATTTGTTTGGTTATGGTTTTTGAATAAAGACTTGCCAAAATAATAATAATAATCACTTTGTTTGTTTTCAGTTTTCAAAATTCATTTTTTAGAAAATTTTAGTTTGCGTTTGGTAGAGTTTTATAAATATGATTTAAAAGTATGAGTTGTATTTTGAGTTTGTGAGTTGTGAAATTATGATTTGAGTGTAGAAAATTTGTTTGGTTATGATTTTTGAATAGAGTGTTGAATTGAGTTTTGAATTGAGTGTGAAATTGAGTTTTGAAAGTTTGATTTGACATGTGAAATAAGAAAATTTGTTTGGTTATGAGTTTTGGAAAGAGTTTTCAAAACTTAATTCAAATTGTTGTAACTCATAACAAAACCCACTACTTTCACATTATTGAAAATTTTGATTAACACTCATAACCAAATTATTTTTAAAATTCAATTAAAAAAATTTATTATTAACAGAAAATAACATTAATCAATTTTTTAATTGAAAATACTACAAAGGAAATAATTTTTTTTCAAAATAAATATTCAAAAAATTTAAATCATAAATATTTAAATAATTTAAATAATCTAAAAAATTTAATAAGTAAAAAATTAAAATAAATATTCAAAAATTTTAAATAATTTTAAATGTTAATATTTTAAATTTAAAAACAACTCTACACTCAAATCGTAACCAAACACATAAAACAAAACTCAATTAAAAAATTATTTTTAAAACTCATAACCAAACACATAACTCGAAACTCCATACTACTTTCACAACTCTACACTCAAATCGTAACCAAACACATAAAACAAAACTCAATTAAAAAATTATTTTTAAAAAATTAAAAAAATATTTAAAAAAATATTGAAAAATTAAAAAATTAAAAAAATTCGTAACATATTAAATATTAAAATATTTAAACATCTTAACAAAAATTAAAATATTTTTAAAATATTGATTTGAATGGAGTTTTTGAAAAGAGTTTTGAATTATGTGTTTTGGTTATGAGTTTTTGAACAAGTAATGATTATGTTTTGAATTGAGTTTTTGAGAAATGAAGTGGTAGAATTATGATTTTGAAAAACCCTAAACAACACCATACTCAAAAGTGAGTGTGGAAGCTAAAAATTTGAAAACTCGCACCCAAACGGAGCCTTAATTTTTTGTTGTGGGCCATATATGGCATTTTGAGTTTTGTTTGGTGAAATTTGTTGATTTTTTGGCCTAAGAAATGTTTTGGTTTTTTTGACTTTTATGAAAGAAATAATGGTCATCGATTTTAGGTTAGGATGCGAATTTTATTTTATTAAACCTAAAAAATATAATTTCTTTTTTTTTATAATTAAATAGTTTTCCAAAATCAAACTCAATCCCAAGTTGCCCAACGAAGGCAATGCAATTTCAATTTGAAGGCCTGCAAGGAATTCTGAATATAGCGATTCCCGGTATTCCCTGTTATTGTTTAACCGTAATCCGAACCTCGGTTCCGTGATGTGTTGTTGTTGTTCTCATTCTCTTTCTTGTCCCCTTACTTTATCTTAGAGTTTTGGGTTGTGTTAGACTTGTTGGGGTTATGTTGGTTGTGTTTTTAAAACTTAGAAATCTTTGCCAGTGTTTTTGGGCCTCTCCGCCTGCGAGCGGGGTTTCGGCACTCGAGCGGGAAAATCACCTTCCCTGTACTACCTCTGTAGTGTTGGATTCGCTCGAGCGTGAGGTTTGATCGGCTCGAAAGCGGAGTTTGAAGGTGAACGCTCGAGCGGGGAGTTGGACGCTCGATAGGGGGACCTGTTCTGCAAAACTTCTGATGGTGGTATCCGCCGCTCAGAGCGCGGGGGGTTTTTGGCGCTCCGAGCGGGGGAATTGGTGAGTGACGCTCGGAAGCGGGTCGACCTGTATAACACACTTCCTTACCGAGATTCAGGCTTTTTTTGATCACTTTTTGATTTCCTTTCTCTCTCTTACTTTTTCAAAACCTCCATTGGAGAGCACCTCACTTTAAAACCTAACTTCTCTCTTAGGATTGATCTAGCTAGAGTGTTTTCCTCACCTTGGGCCTTTGTAAGAAGTGTGTTGATCGTCGAGGCTTCGTTGTGATCCAAGAAATTTGGGATTTGGAGCACTTTGATTTCGGGTCATCTTCTCCATTTGAGTTCTCCATTTGAGGTAGAGATTCTCCTTGTTCTTTTTCAATACTCCGTCTATAGATAGACATGTGGTAATTTTTGTATTGCATGAAAATTGTATCATGTTGGATTTTTGTATAAATTCATGAGGTTGAACTTGGGTTAGTTGTTGGAATTAAATCTATTATCATTAGATGTGTTTTGGGGCTAATTGGATGTTAATTAGCATGTTGTTGTTGTAAGGAGAGGAAACCCTAATATTTATTTGGTTTAATAACTCAATAGAGGGGTTTTGATCATGACCATTGTGTGTAAATCTCTTTTGTCAAAATGAGTGTGGTAAGGGTGTTAATGCCTAAGGGATTATCCATGGCTTTGGAGTTGATTTTTTTGGAAACAAGATTAGTGGAGTTGGTTTTGTGATAACAAAAAGGAAATGGAATCGTTTTTGTGAAAATGAGGGAAGTGTTTTCGAAATAAGTTTGAAAATTGGATTGTTGTGTCTTGAGTGTTGAACACACATGTAGAAGTTGTATCTTTAACTACCATGTTAATATTGTTGTTGGGTTTATGATTCATGATATTTGAGTCTTTTAATAGATGTACTAACTAAGACTTCATGGAGTGTCGATGTCGATTGTGTCAGACCGAGATCCGAAGTTGGTTTTCAGATTTTGGCAGAGCTTTCGGAGCCGAGTTTAGGTTTAGCACAGCTTTTCATCCCCAGACTGATGGGCAAATAGAGAGGACGATTCAGACACTTGAAGATATGCTTAGACTATGTGTATTGGACCTCCAAGGAAGTTGGGGAGTACATTTGCCATTGGTGGAATTTACTTACAACAACAGTTATCAAGCCAGCA